TTAATTACCATACGAAACCAATGATTAATTACAATTCAAAATAAACCTATGAAATAATTAATATTAACATTTTAAACATTAAATTCTGAAAACCAATTCTGCATTCAACTGCTATCCTAAGCCCTACTTTTTCCAAAAGTATAATGCTCTCTAAGATCATTCTAACTTTTATATCACCAAAATGTAGGGAAAAAAAACTTGTCCAGATAAAAAATAAAAATAAAATAATGCCTCTTTATAATCTAACTCAAAGTTCTGTGATCCTATGACTCCATGTCAGTAACATTATCGTGTGTATATATGTAATTTTCTACAAAAAATTCTTTCTTCACGAGAGAGAGAGAAAGACAGAGAGAGAGAGAGAGAGAGAGAGAGAGAGAGAGAGAGAGAGACAGAACGAGGGAGGGGAGGGGCTACTCGAACAAAGGAACACATGGATGATTGAAATACACCCCTTCTTTGCTACATTTTCCTCGTTTTTATCGTGATTTGGTCTTAATCAGTGGTAAAAGTTTTTCTCACGTCAAACGACACTTTACATTTTATCCTTAAATACGTCAGTAATGGAAAACATTACCATTTGCTACATGATTAATGTATCGAGAGTTCCAGCAGAATCTTTTTTGTTTTTTTTCCCCTGATTCTCTGTAACTATCGAAACATTACATCCCAATACAAGAGAAAAACTCCCAGACTGATCTTTTGTCATTTCTTCACATGAAAACTCATAGTTACAGCCAAGTGGCTCCCTTTTTTCTCATTAATCAGATCATTATTATCAGAATCCACATTTTAAATACTTGGCTTTTTTCTGTTTAAATGTACCCTTTTTTTTCCCGCCCCCCGGGGGATATGGAGTTTTTATTATCCTATCACTTCTGACCCTAACTATCCCTATTTCTCTAATTCTATTCCTATTTTTTCACTAATATGCTTGTGCCTCTTTTGCACTTATACCCCTGTGGCTCTTTTCATCATCTGTTCTGTTTTTTTTGGAGGGACCCATGCTTCCCCCAAGGTTAAAACGTCTAAACCTGACTATTGTTCTATCGCGTCCGATAGAACGCCCCGTCACGGCGGTCGTCTGGCCACGCTGCAATCTGTCGAGCCAAAATCTCTCTCTCTTCTATTTAAAACAATGTGCAGATTTCCAAAACTGTGATCCGCTTACCTTAGAAGCGACCTTTTTGAAGAGCAGAGAGATTTTTCCAAACCCACAAATCCAGTCTCTATAACTGAGCTCATCTCTGTCCCGCTCCTGCCCCGATCACGTCGGGATTCACCAAAATGAAGTCAATAATTCCCTTTGACTGACGTATCCAAAGTCGATGCAAGAGCGAGACAAGAGATCTTCACGTTTAACATCTGCATTTAATTATCTTTACAATCAGATACAGAATATTCAACAAAAAAAAGTGCTCCTAAAACTAATATGTCCCTCTCCTCTTCCCCTGCGCTAACTGACTGCCAATCTCCTCCCAGCAGTTTCTATCAAAGGGTCCGATGACGTCACAGATCTGGGACTGGTCTGGCCCCTGGTCCTGGTCTGAACCCGGTCTTCCATCTCCACCTGAGCAAACAATGCCCCCCACCACTGGGCGCCTGATTGTGTTGGACTTTTGCCCTCGTCGAGAGTGGGAGAGAGCATTTGTTTATTCTTGGAGTCAATAATTGTCTGGTTTTGTAAGCTGGTCATCTCTTATGATTCCTGAGTGCATATTCCTTTGTCTGATGTGCAGCATGTTGTGAATATTCGTCAGTACTAATGTCATGCATATTTCCCCAGGATACAATTTTCCAATACATATAATGTGTTTTTAATGTAGCAAGCAAACATTTTACAGATAACAGCAAAGATATAACATACTGAATAGGTCTTACCATCAAAACAAACACGCCACAGTTGTTGGAGCACCCTTGCTTTGTTAGGCCCTGAGGTGTGAACAAGGTCTTTTAATAAAAGAATGGCAAGAAAATAGTAAATGTTAGCAAATACTATGAAGTAACGTCTCACCTGAACATCATTCACGCCAAGCTCCCTCCAGGGGCCAGGAGACAGGCTGTGAGCAATGTGTCTGTGCAAAGAGTAAGCAGAAGTAACTAAAAGTAACTGAACTAAAATCAACTTTTGATTCAAATGCATTCAAAAGCAAACAAATGTCATGTCATGGATGTTAACATGCAAGGAAGAGCAATATCAATTTCCTGCAGATTACTCAGATGTAAGTGTCAGATTGTCAAATGCTTATGAATGGTACCATTTCAAATATGCTTAAATCACATATTAGCATATTGGCTTTATATTCTTACATTATTCTATATTCAACATGTAACAACGATTAAAAAAGTAACGTATTTTCCCCGCGAAAAGTATAATATTTCCCCCCCAAAAGTAATAACGATCACATAAAATTTTCTCCCCAAAGGTATAATATTTTCCCAGTACGTCGTGCCGGATAAATATGAATCTAAAACCCAGAAAAGTCGTTTTTAAGTCCAGGTTTATATAATTTTTGCTGCAACAGTAATGCTAGGTATACTAGATTAGAAGTCCAACCGTGCAGAATGCAGATACATACAAGTATAACTTATTTTAAAATAAAAATAATGTTACTTCCTTCCTTGTCGGTAACAAATATAGCAAAGTTGCACGTTAAAACAGAATGAAAAAACTGGCCTACAGTACCTCCATTCTGCCAGCTACTTCGCTCTTCTTCTCCTCTGCTTCTTCTCCTTCTCTGTCATACGCACAGTCCTCAATGCCTAGCTCCGCCCCGATCTGCGGACTGCAGTCAGGGGCTACTCACCCAGTGGGCTGTTTACCTTTCACTGGCCCCGCCCCCAAGCAACAAAAGTATTTCACGCGCGCGTAGAAGAGATGGCAAAAGTGTTCAACGCAGAACACAGACCACGAGAAGGGAGAGGGCAGGTCACGAGCGCACACACGTGCGTATTGTTGCTCGTGGTACTGAGTCTGCGCGTGTGTGGTGTGAAATGTGCGCGTGGAGAGTAGTTTGCGCGCGTGTGAATTACATAAAGCTGCGCGTGTATGTGTTATTTGACGATCACCAACTACAAGCCCAAAGCCCCCCCCCCTGTGCTGACTGACCACAAGCTAGCCTGAACTTTTTTTTCAGTCGCTTTGATGCTGCCCCTGACACCTCCCCCACCCCCCACTACTCTAACGACCCACCCATCAGCCCTGCCCCCACCCTGACAATAGCCTCTAAAGAGATTAAACAACTCTTCTTGAGGCTGCACCCCCGCAAAGCTCCTGGCCCGGACCACGTGTCTCCGGCCACTCTGAGACACTGCGCCAGTGAGCTTACTCCTGTGTTCACTGACATTTTCAACACCTCTCTGCAGTCCTGCCATGTCCCGGCCTGCTTCAAATCCTCCATCATTGTCCCCGTCCCGAAGAAGCCCAGGATCACAGGACTCAACGACTACAGACCTGTAGCACTGACGTCTGTCGTCATGAAGTCATTTGAACGCCTGGTTCTCTCCCATCTCAAGTCCTTCACCTCCCCCCTCCTGGACCCCCTGCAGTTCACCTACAGAGCCAACAGATCTGTAGACGACGCCATTAACCTGGCCCTCCACCACATCCTACAGCACGTGGACTCCCCGGGGACCTACGCCAGGGTCCTGTTCGTGGACTTCAGCTCTGCCTTCAACACAATCCTGCCATCCCTGCTCCAGGACAAGCTCTCCCAGCTCAACGTGCCCGATTCCACCTGCAGGTGGATCACTGACTTCCTGACGGACAGGAAGCAGCGAGTGCGTCTGGGGAAGAATGTCTCGGACTCTCGGATTATAAATACAGGAGCCCCACAGGGCTGTGTTCTTTCTCCCCTGCTCTTTTCTCCCTGTACACCAACCACTGCACCTCCATCCACGACTCCGTGAAGCTGATCAAGTTCGCGGACGACACCACCCTCATTGGACTCATCTCCAACAACGATGAGTCCGCCTACAGGAGGGAGGTGGACCGGCTGGTGTCCTGGTGCAGTGGTAACAACCTGGAGCTGAACGCCCAGAAGACAGTGATGATTGTGGACTTCAGGAAGAGCACTGTCCCCCCGCCCCCACCCTCCGTGATGGACTCCCCCATCACCTCTGTGGAGTCCTTCCGTTTCCTGGGCACCACCATCACCCAGGACCTCAAGTGGGAGCCGACCATCAGCTCCCTCATCAAGAAGGCCCAGCAGAGGATGTACTTCCTGCGGCAGCTCAGGAAAGCCAAGCTGCCTGCACAGATGTTGGTGCAGTTCTACACGGCCATCATCGAGTCCATCCTCACCAGAACGAGGCTGTGTCCTCTAGCCTCTACAGCATTGCTAAAAACAGTAGCATGTTAATAGAATTGGCTATAACTCTTCTTGCTGTAACTGCAGACACATCAAAACAGCCCGAACAACACAAAAGTGAGGAAGAGAAGAGGGAACTAAAGCGAGAAAATGATCAAAGAAGAAATCGAGCCCTGAACATAGCTAGCTTACATCGTATTCTCTGGAGAAACTTTTCTATGGGAGAGAGCTGCGGGACCGCCTCGGACTATCAATGCTTGGGCTGTCTACGCTCTGACCCCATTCGGATGCGAAACTAGCGGTAATCTTTCAGTTATATATTATGTTAGCAGTGCGTTGCTTTTCTACCATTTCATCAGTGATTGTTGTACACCTTAAGTTACGCTAATGCTAATGTTAGCATCAGATCGCAAATACAACTAGGGGGCTCCGCTTAGGGGAAATGAGAAGCCTCTGAGCGAGCTGGGAGCCGGTGCTAAACAAGCAAACCTTGCTTAAACGGGTATAGCTCCTTTAATTTCACAATTATCAAGCGTTTTTTTTCCATAAAAATCACAACAGAGAATCACTTTATGTAATTTTAATGCAGGAATGATTATATAGTTTCCAAAAAGCACAGCAAATGCAAAATGTATACAAAAATACAATGGTAATATACTAATAACAGCTAATACAAACTTTCTGTGCCTCTCAGCCCACTTCCTCCTTTCCCCCGCAGCCGCTTCCTGGCTTAGACCCAGAGATGGGCTGTGAAGCGGTCTCTGTGAGGGTCTGTGAAGCAGTCTCTGTGAAGCAGTCTCTGTGAGGGGCCTTGAAGCAGTCTCTGTGAGGGTCTGTGAAGCAGTCTCTGTGAGGGGCTGTGAAGCAGTCTCTGTGAGGGGCTGTGAAGCAGTCTCTGTGAGGGTCCGTGAAGCAGTCTCTGTGAGGGGCTGTGAAGCAGTCTCTGTGAGGGGCTGTGAAGCAGTCTCTGTGAGGGTCTGTGAAGCAGTCTCTGTGAGGGTCCGTGAAGCAGTCTCTGTGAGGGGCTGTGAAGCAGTCTCTGTGAGGGGCTGTGAAGCAGCAGTTCTCTGTGAGTAAGACCGTTGTCAATCACTGGCGTTCTCCCTCTGAGTTAACTCTTTCCTTTCTTTTAGCAGACAAAAGCCACAGAGGTGAAGTGTGCGCTTCCTTCCACCCTCTAGTCTTGTCACTGCCCCCACTGCCTGGAGGCACGAGTCCCGAGGCCTCTTGAGACCTGGTTTCCCAGGTGGGACGACCCAGTGCCCACGCCGCCTCGCCTGCTGAGGCAGGGACATTTTTTCACAACCCCTCTCTTCTGAATTGTTCCCCTGAAGTTGTTGGCTGTTCAAACGCCAGGCGATGGAAGGGTTGTTTCCAATCCTGCTCCGTGAAGAGATCTCCTCCAGTCTCTTACAACTGGAGTTTTTATTGCCTTCCAGTAAAATGCACCTGACCAAATATGGCCCTCATCATCTGTCACTATTCCCCTGTGTCACCTCTTTTACGCCCCTGCTTCCTCAGAGAAAGAACTTTCCAGTACGTCGCTCTCTCAGAGTTACATAATCACTGCTTTTGTCATACAGTCTCGTAGTACCAGTGCATTCCCAGTGGGGAGTGCCCTCACAACATTCTCCCTAAGAATTGGGACACCCCTGGATCTAGGGGACAATATGCAAATGACGCAGCAGACGTGTTTCACGTCACACACATGATCAAAGTGTCTGATTTCACCACAGATAAGATCTGACACAGACATGACTTTATGAAACACAGTATTTATTAAAATGAGACGTTTTTAATTCTATTTCATATGAAGATTTACTATAATTAGGTACAGAACTGCTGCACATCACGCACTCATAGAGACAGACGCACACACGCATACGGACACATGTACATACACGTACGCACACAGAGACAAACACATGTATATACACGTACGCACACAGAGACAAACACATGTATATACACGTACGCACACAGAGATGTACCACACAGAGACAGGCAAGTCAATTGGCAAAAGTCCAAGTGAAAGTCAGAGTCATTGATATTAAAGTCTAAGTCGAGTCTAAAGTCATCAAATTCATGACTGGAGTCTGACCCGAGTCCAAGTCACATGAGTCGAGTCCACACCTCTGGTTAAGACTGAAGTGTGATCCTGTAGAGTCTGACTCTGGGTTCACATGATGCAGCCTCAGCTCTGTCTCCTTCACTTTGTTCCTGATGCTGCGTCTTCACATCTGTTTCTCACACGTTTTACTGTGTCCACGAAGAGATTTACTATGAGTAAAAGACTTTCCACACTTTTCACAGAGAAATGGTTTCTCCCCAGTGTGGATCCTCTGATGATCTTTGAGAGAACTGCTCTGAGTAAAACTCTGATCACAAACGTCACACTTGTACGGCTTCGCTCCAGTGTGGCTCCGATGGTGACTTGTGCGCTCGGATGCAGTTGTAAAAGTTTTACCGCAGAGGTCACATGCAAATGGTTTTTTCTCCAGTGTGAATTCTCTCATGTCTTTTGTAGTTTGAAAAGCGACCAAACTCCTTTCCACAGTCTCCACAGACGAATGGTTTCTCTCCCGTATGGACCCTCTGATGATCTTTGAGAGAAACACTGCGAGTAAAACTCTGATCACAAACGTCACAGCTGAAGGGTTTTTCTCCAGTGTGGCTCCGATGGTGACTTGTGCGCTCGGATGCAGTTCTAAAAGTTTTACCGCAGAGGTCACATGCAAATGGTTTTTCTCCAGTGTGAATTCTCTCATGACTTTTGTAGTGTGAAGACTGAGTAAACTCCTTCCCACAGTCTCCACAGACGAATGATTTTTCTCCAGTGTGAATTCTCTCATGTCTTTTGTAGTTTGAAAACTGAGTAAACTCCTTCCCACAGTCTCCACAGACGAATGGTTTTTCTCCAGTGTGAATTCTCTCATGACTTTTGTAGTTTGAAAAGCGACCAAACTCCTTTCCACAGTCTCCACAGACGAATGGTTTCTCTCCCGTATGGACCCTCTGATGATCTTTGAGAGAAACACTGCGAGTAAAACTCTGACCACAAACGTCACAGCTGAAGGGTTTTTCTCCAGTGTGAATTCTCTCATGACTTTTGTAGTGTGAAGACTGAGTAAACTCCTTCCCACAGTCTCCACAGACGAATGGTTTTTCTCCAGTGTGAATTCTCTCATGTCTTTTGTAGCTTGAAAACCGAGTAAACTCCTTCCCACAGTCTCCACAGACAAATGGTTTTTCTCCAGTGTGAATTCTCTCATGTCTTTTGTAGCTTGAAAACCGAGTAAACTCCTTCCCACATTCTCCACAGACGAATGGTTTCTCTCCTGTGTGGATTCTGTAGTGCTGAGTGAGGCTAGATAAACGTATAAAAGTCTTTTCACACTGGTCACATTGGTGAGGTCTCTCTCCTGTGTGGACATGCTGATGTTGTGAGAGGTGGTGTTTGGTCCCAAATGTTTTTCCACACTCGTCACACTCAAATGGTTTCTCTCCAGTGTGGACACTCCGATGATCTTTCAGAGTATTCTCATGTCTAAAACTCTGACCACAAACGTCACAGCTGAAGGGTTTTTCTCCAGTGTGGATTCTGCTGTGGACCTTAAGATTTGCTGCTTTAGTAAAACCTGTTCCACACTGATCACACTCGTATGGTTTTTCTCCAGTGTGAGTTCTGTAGTGTCTCTTTAGTGCAGAAGCAGAGCTGCAGATCTTTCCACACTGATCACAGGTGACCCCCATTCTGTAGATGGACTTTGTAGATCTGCAAAAAACACAACAAAAACATGTCATTAATATAATAATTACAAAGGTTTCTTCAGCCCAAAATACAAACAATATGTATTTTTGCAACAGTGACAGGTATTTGGACAAAAAAGATGGACTTTGTAGATCTGCAAACAAAGAGTAAAGTATTGCATTACTGTTTCACTCTATGTCTGCTTGTTGTGACTCTATGATGTCTGCTTGTTGTGACTCTATAATGTCTGCTTGTTGTGACTCTATGATGTCTGCTTGTTGTGACTCTGATGTCTGCTTGTTGTGACTCTGTGTTGTCTGCTTGTTGTGACTCTATGATGTCTGCTTGTTGTGACTCTGTGATGTCTGCTTGTTGTGACTCTATAATGTCTGCTTGTTGTAACTCTGTGATGTCTGCTTGTTGTGACTCTGTGATGTCTGCTTGTTGTGACTCTGGTGCTTTCACACCGCCAACGCTGATACACTGAAGCCTCGCTCACCAGACGCACATTCTCTAGTTTTCAGACGCAGGGGTCTTCAGACCGAGAAGTCTTGGCGTGCGTCGGAAGTGGTGGAAGTAGCCGGCGGGCTATGATGCTAACAGAGTTTAGCTAGCGGCTTCTTGTGTCAAGTTCTGCTCCAATAATGCAGCTTTGCAGCGTGTCTGTGTTCAGAGACTTTCCACAGACTTTATATAACAGCAGTATGTGTTCACGGAGGTGACTTTATATAACAGTAGTATGTGTTCACAGAGGTGACTTTATATAACAGCAGTGTGTGTTCACGGAGGTGACTTTATATAACAGCAGTATGTGTTCACGGAGGTGACTTTATATAACAGCAGTATGTGTTCACGGAGGTGACTTTATATAACAGCAGTATGTGTTCACGGAGGTGACTTTATATAACAGCAGTATGTGTTCACGAAGGTGACTTTATATAACAGCAGTATGTGTTCACAGAGGTGACTTTATATAACAGCAGTATGTGTTCACGGAGGTGACTTTATATAACAGCAGTATGTGTTCACGAAGGTGACTTTATATAACAGCAGTATGTGTTCACAGAGGTGACTTTATAATAACAGCAGTATGTGTTCACGGAGGTGACTTTATATAACAGCAGTATGTGTTCACAGAGGTGACTTTATATAACAGCAGTATGTGTTCACGGAGGTGACTTTATATAACAGCAGTATGTGTTCACGAAGGTGACTTTATATAACAGCAGTAAAGTAATTGTGATGTAATGTTTTAATAGTTACAGAGGTACTACTATTATGAAAAAAGAGGAATACACTTATTAGGAAAGAGATGAACAATTCTGACATGTTTGATTGATCCTGCTGTAACTAGTAATACATTATTCATTTAAGCAAATTGTAATGTTTTCCATTACTGACATATTTAATGATAAGACAGATAGTGTAAAGTGTCGTTTGACGTGAGAAAACTGTCACCACTGATTAAAACATTGTCACGATAAAAAACGAGGAAAATGTAGCAAATTTTAAAGGGGATGTTCATGAATTTGGTGTATTTCAGTCGTACATGTTCTCCTCTGTTTGAGAAGCCACACAGCCCCTCCCCTCTGCTCTTCTCCCTCTCTCCGTTAAGAATGATGCATACAAAATATCATAGAGTCATATGATCACAGAATTTCCAAGTCTAGACAAGTTATTAAACATTTTTTCCCAACATTTTGGTGATATAAAATTAAAAATGATCTTAAAGAGCATTATACTTTTGGAAAAATAGGGCTTAGGATAGCAGCTGAATGCAGATTTGGTTTTCAGAATGTAATGTTTAAAATGTTAATATTTATTATTTCATAGGCTTATTTAGATCAGTCTTAGTGTAGTGTAGTCAGTCCTACAGTGTAGTGGTAGTACAGTCAATCCTACAGTGTAGTGGTAGTACACACAGTCCTACAGTGTAGTGGTAGTACAGACAGTCCTACAGTGTAGTGGTAGTACAGACAGTCCTACAGTGTAGTGGTAGTACAGTCAATCCTACAGTTTAGTGGTAGTACATACAGTCCTACAGTGTAGTGGTAGTACAGACAGTCCTACAGTGTAGTGGTAGTACAGACAGTCCTACAGTGTAGTGGTAGTACAGACAGTCCTACAGTTTAGTGGTAGTACATACAGTCCTACAGTGTAGTGGTAGTACAGACAGTCCTACAGTGTAGTGGTAGTACAGTCAGTCCTACAGTGTAGGCCCCATGGATCCCTCTGCGGGTGGTGGGCCCACAGGAGGGCTGGCCCATGTCGTCTCCCTGCTGAGTGTGCTGTGTCTGTGCGGTGTTACTCTGGCTCGTTATTATAACAGATCCATGCTCTGGAGTGTCAATGTGAGAATATACAGTGTAGTGGTAGTACAGTCCTACAGTGTAGTGGTAGTACAGACAGTCCTACAGTGTAGTGGTAGTACAGACAGTCCTACAGTCCTACAGTGTAGTGGTAGTACAGTCAGTCCTACAGTCCTACAGTGTAGTGGTAGTACACACAGTCCTACAGTGTAGTGGTAGTACCCACAGTCCTACA